CCCTAAACCCTAAACCCTAAGCATGCTCAAGCTCAAATCTCTTGTCTGAGCTGCCCTCACTGGCTGATTCTCAGGGGTTCGTCGGTTCTCAACAGCCTCAAAGCTAGGAAGATGGTCATGCAAGCAATGACGATGATGATGATGATGGTGGTGGTGGTGAGGGGTTTGGGGGTGCGGGCCTTACTGTTTGAAACCTTTACGGAGCATAAAACATAAGCATCTTACACTTATGGGTTGCTGCCCTAGCCATGAACTCGTATTTGGGAGATATTCGTGGATGCTATGACGCATGACTCTCTGAGCGTTTTAGCTTGGTGGGTTCAGGAGTGAGGCTTCTTGTTTGGGATTTTTGGGATTTGGAGTTACAGGACTTCTGATACCTCATGCAGGGTTCTGTGGCGGAGATGCAATCTCTCCTAAATTACCTGCCCTTGCGCGAAACCCATACAAACAACACTCATGAAGCCTTGCTCCATTTTCATCTCCTGTAAACATCCCTGCAGCCCGAAACCTGATTCTCTGATATGAAGGATTCGAGGGCTTCAGGTTCAACCTTCAGGGTGCGGGATTCTCAGGGTTCAGGGTCTGAGGTTTAGAGCCCTACATCTACAGCCTACTACAAACACCAAACCCTACCGACACCCCAAGCATCGCAAACCCCCCCTAAACCCTAAACCCTAAACCCTAAACCCTAAACCCTAAACCCTAAACCCTAAACCCTAAACCCTAAACCCTAAACCCCAATAGCCAGAAGCCCATCCTTGCAACCCCCGTGGCATAGCTGTTTTTTGAACCCTAAGCTCTGAACCCCTAGATTCTTAAATCCTGAGCCCTGAAACCCTAAGCCCTAAAACCTTCTGGGAGGCGTAACAAGGTGTCATTCCAACTAAAAGCAAACCCCAAAATTCTAAACCCAAAACGCTAAACCCCTAAACCCCTAAACCCCAAACCCTAAAACCCTAAACCCCTAAACCCCTGAACCCCTAAAGCCCTAAAGCCCTAAAGCCCTAAACCCCAGAATCCTAAAAGTAAACTCCGCCCCTACGCAGGTGTCCCAGATGCAGAGCTCTTCCTTAGGGCTCCCCTGGCTTCCGGACCTGCCCGCACTGGAGCTCAGATCTTCCTCTGGCTCGTAAATGGATGCGTTTAGGGTTTTGGGGTTTGGGGTTAGGGGTTTAGGGTTTTGGGGGTTTAGGGTTTGAGGTTTTGGGGTTTGGGGTTTAGGGTTTAAGGTTTTGGGGTTTAGGGTTTGGGATTTGCTGTGGAATGGCGCGTTGGCGAACATATTTGGCGATAGCGATTTTTTTCTCCCGCCCCACGCCGTCTGAGGCAGCGAAGCCACCCAAACCTATTCCCTTTGAGGGTTTAGCTTTAAACTCATTCCATTGGATCTTCTCTTATCTACAAGCTTTCTTTTTTAAGGCTGTGCGTTATAGGGCCTGGCATAGTAAATAAAAACTAGCTAGGGCATTCGGGTGAAGTTTTGATAACTGCAGTGGTTGGCATTTGAATACAATGCAGACGTCGAATTTGCGATGTGACCGCAGACGAGGCTCAATGCATTGGGACACTCCACAGGTGGCAGAAGGAGCGCTGGCTGGCACGGGAGGATTTAGGGACATGGCGTGGGGGGGAAAGATGCTGAAGCGACTTGGCTCAAGCCTGAAAGCCTGCTGACAACAGCCCGTCATGGCCAAACCCCGGGCTATAAACCCGAAGCAGCCTAATTAGGGAAAAGGCCAAGGCGAAAGTAGTGCCTTCAAGGCCAGCGCAAGTTGCTCAGCCCGAGCAAGCGCCAACCGAGCCGCAACCACCAACGACTCGGCAAAGGATGTGGGAGGTGGAGAAAAGCCAGGCCCACCGCCCTTCGGGCCCCTACCCCGCACGCGCAGGGCTCCCAGCATGGACAGTACATAGCAGAAGAAGAAGCCTTGCAGCAATGAGTTTGTGTCCAATTTCGAGCGAGGCCTGTGATGTGGTGGCAGGCTGCCGTTGTGCAGTTTGCCTGCGGTCCTACGTGCCAAGCGTGCCGGCTGTCCAATGGGCGTGCGCGCTAGCTTGGATGAGCCATGATTATGTCAACGCCTCTACCTCGAGAGACCAGGAACTGAGTCTTTCCGAAGCGAAGTGTAGAAACCAAGCAAGCAGCTAAGGGACAGAAAGACGTCAGTTCCGCTGCATGCATGCATGCATGCATGCATGCATGCATTGAGGTGTCTTGATGAGCATTTCCTTGTCTTGAATACCGCAGCTATTTGCAGATTCTCAGGTCAGAAAGGGTCAAGCAGCTATGGACGAGGAGGAGTGCAGATCTGCATCATCTGCAGGAGACTCCGACGACGACAGACTCCAAGCGCTATCATTCTTGCAGCAACTGGTAAGTCCATCTTTTCTATAGACACATGCTCTTTCACTCCACCACCTCGCAGTGGGCCTGAGCCGTCACATGGGTGCTGTCTAAGAGGGAAAGGCAGTGGCGGATAGCACACTGGTTCAGCTCATGCGCAAAAGGTTACGGTGGAGGACCTCAACTCAGCACTGCCACCCAGCCCGCCGTGCCCTCGGCACCACTAACTAAGAGATAACAGCCAGATGCCGTCAGCCCGACACAGGTACTCCGAGTGCAACCTTACCAGCTCGCCCAACGAGCGGCGCACTCGCTTCGAAAGGGGAGAACCTGTTCCGGTACCGGGCAGGACGTGGGTGCTACCGTCCCCATGG